GACTATCAAGAACGGTCTTTATCGAACCAATAGAAATGCTGTATGGATCCCATCTCGTTCTAAGGAACTTCAGCTACGAATTTGCATCATTGGACATTGTGGGCGAAGCGGACATCGAGGCGTGGACACCACATATGAAAACATCAAAGCACACTTTTGCTGGAAAAAGATGAAGACGGATATCACAGCATTTTGCAACACTTGTATGCACTGCCTTGTAACAATTGGCGGCCAACGTATTCCTAGGCCACTTTCATATGCTATGCATTCCACTACTCCGAACGAGTTGATTCATTTCGATTATTTGTACCTCGGGGAGAGCAACTCTGGACCTGTATATGTCCTCATCATCAAAGACGATGCATCATCCTTCGTGCTTCTGGAAGAAAGCGACGCTGCAGACGCCACAAACACTGTACGCGCCCTGAGAAAATGGTTTTCTCTTTTTGGCGTCTCTCTCTTCTGGGTGTCCGACCGCGGATCTCATTTTAAAAATAAGGTTATGGCTGATCTTAATCGAGCCTTACATTCTCACCACCACTTCACAACTCCATATTCTCCTCAATCGAATGGGACAGTCGAAACTGTGTGCAAAGAGGTACTTCGTGGATGCAGAGCACTGCTGTCGGAATTTCGTCTCAAGGAAACAGAGTGGCCTGAGGTCATTGACATTGTCCAAAGTGTGCTTAACCACTCTGTCAGGCCATCTCTCGGCAATCGCGCTCCAGTGACAGTAATGACAGGAAGACCAGCAGATAATCCCTTGAGCGCTTTAGTACCACCAGTTGTCGAACACGCACATTCCCTGGAACTAGTGAAGGCACAGCGCTTGATGGAGATTGATTCCCTCATGAACGCCGTTGACGCGATGCACAAAGATGCGTCGGAGAAACGCACTAGGAAGCGTGAGCAAGCAGTGAAGTCTCACAATCGAAAGACTGGCGTACAAGAGGTCAATTTCGATGTTGGGGATTTTGTTCTTGTTGCCAAGCGAGCTTCCAAAGGCGGTGAGAAGCTTCGCGTCAATTGGACAGGGCCCAGGCGCGTGACACGGGCTGCATCTGATTCTACTTTTGAGATCCAGAACCTATTAACAAATGCGAAGCATGTTGTGCATGCCTCTCGTTTGAAGCTCTATTCAGATTCGCATTTGAATGTTTCAGAGCAGCTTTTAGATTCAATCGCTCACAATGAGGCGCACCTGAATAAGGTTGAACAGCTTCTGGGACTCCGCTACAATCCTCAGTCTGAAGTCTATGAAGTTAATGTGAAATGGCAAGATTTTGACTACGAAGAACCGACGTGGGAGCCATTCGCAAATGTGCAGGAAGACGTCCCAGCTATTCTGGAGAACTTTCTACAGGATTATTCAGATCAGGACTTGGTCAAGTCTGCTAGGGATTCCGGCATTTGACTCTCTTGAAGAGGGGACTGCTATCAATATGACTTATTGATTGGTGATTCCTGCTGCATCCTTCTGAGTCAAGCTCCGTCGACTTTAGTCTTTGTCAACCTTAGCCCGTATTAGTTCCTGTTATTCTTTACATGTCCCGATTTACCTACCGCCCACACCACCGAGCTGTTTCTCGACCCGGAACGGCGGTTCGCCGAAAGACAGAGCACTTCCACCTCTCAACATTTCAACTTACGAGCTGACCACATACTCAAAGCCTTTAACGATGGTTTCGGATGCTTGTGATGTCTCTAAATGATTGTGTTTTGCGCTTTGTGTATAGTGCTACTCACGAAATAGTGCCCTATGTCGAGGTCTGCCATGGGGTAGCACTATAGAGTGGGACCCCCTGTATTGGGAGACGGCATTAGTAAGTGACGTCGTCACATCTTTCTGCATACACTCGGAAATTAACGCCTGCCTGCTCCGTGTTGGTTCTCTGGTATGTTTCGCAGTGAGAAATGCGCGCTTCGCCGACCGTAGATGCGATAGAGCGTCTAGAACTTGGCACTCAGTCGCCAAAAGTTCCAGCTCTCCAAACAATTTCGTGATCCAGACGGCATGGGGTATAGTCTTTCTCTTTATTGCGTTTTCTGCGCTCTCATTGTCATCACTTGATTGCATTTCAGGTGGATTCTGCACTACCTGAACCGTCTCTTAAACATCCATGGCGTCATTGACAGACGCTTCCACCACATCTTGGCGTACTTAAGAAATTCGAGCAGGTTCAGTTCAACATGGGGGACCATTACGGACTGACGAGCATTTAGAGTGATTTGGGCTTCTCGCTTGCTTCGCGGAGCAATGCTGGGGCAGTTGCTTTGATTTTACGTACATTGCGCATGACGAGGGAAAATTATGCCTATGCCTCTGCTACACATACAGTAGTGTTTGCACTGCTTGGTAGCTACCGTACGGTATACTCTCCGTACACGCATCTGACCGAGATATGGTAGATCAATCACACTATTAGATATGTTGCAGTGAGGTTTGCCTCAATGCCTGAACAATTCCGTTCTGTTCTATCATCCGACGACGAAGACGTGGAACGGTGACAGTTGAATTTTGTGCTTTTTCTCAGGGAGCAAATTTTCTCTTCTAGAAATCTCTTTTGCCCACAAGACTGAAGACTTCTGGAGTAAGTGGTTCCCATCCGACATCGATGAATTAACAATCGTATGATTCGACTCCGTTTAAGTTGACGAGTGCTCAGGACTTATGCCAGGCCACTTTTACTGCGGCTCATACATACATACCCTCTCCGTGAGTTTGCGGCATGTATTAATCCGTCCTTGGCGGAAAAATCTCTCTCGTCTGCTTTTTCTCAGGAGACACATAACGGTCTGTCGCGAGTGCAACTTTCTGTGTTGAGGCATCACCCCCGCCGATCTTATATAAACAGCAACTAATAGCCTTCTCCATGAGCTCTCCGCACAACTTCTCATCCACCTTCACTACTCACAACACATCATCTCAGCTCCAAAGGTTCAAAACGCACGCCCAAAAATGAAGCGCATCTTCCTTACCTTCTCTCTCATCCTCGCTATGTTCACTGTTATTGAGGGATCCGTTGTCACAAGCGATACGACCAAGAAAGTCGCCGAGCTTATGCGCATAGGGAAGCGATGCGTCTATAGCAGCACTATCACCGCGAATAGCATCTCTTCGACCTGCAAATGCCGAAAACGCACGAGCAGCAGTTCCGTGGCCAGTTCGAGTGCCCCTCGCAAGTTCTTCATATGCATGGACAGGCTCGCTGGGCGCAACTGCATACCTAGACCTAAGTTGGATCTGTTAGTGTCTGTCTCAAACGGGTGTTGGTGGATGGGCACGAAGCGAGTCGCTCCTTGACGGACAGACACGAAAGAAGATGCTCCTTTCATGGACGATACTTTTGCCCCACGTTCAATTTATTCCTTTGACGCGTTCTGACAAATGACCGAAACATTGCATGTCAATTGCTCAAGGTATTGCCTGCTGTTTGCGTAGGCTCGCCTCCGTCTCCGGATTGCGCACTATAAGTAGCTGTAGGTCTAATGTAGACAGAGAGAAGAACAATTAACTCCCACCTCAACAAGTAAAAGCCAACAACCTACCAAATACCAAGTGGTTATGGGCCCAGGTTCACGTTGAACTTTACTGCACCATCTTGCATCGCTGCACTGTCTCCCGTCGTTATACGCAACTGCTAACTAGTTCCTGCACTCCTCCGCAATGGAAAACAGCAGGAAGGTCTACAAGTTTGAGGGATGGCTGGGAGAGGATTTCCGCATCTGGGAAGCGCGCACTGAGGCCGCTTTGGAAGCGAAGGACATCCTGAACGTCGTTCAGGTGTGTGAGCTGTGCATGGGAATCATGACAGTCCATACGCAAATTCCACTACCATCACCGGCGATAGGCAACGCGATTACACGCAAAAAGCAATTGCTAAACGAGCGAATACTCTCAGCATTGCTCCCGCCCGCCGCCCCCCGCCAACGCCCGCAAGGTGCGCGATGTAGCGCCTACCGGGTCCTGAGCTACCGCTCGTAATGTAGAGGAGTGAAAACTGTCACATCTAGGATAAGAGGCCTGGATAAGAGGCCTAGATGAGAGGAACTGAGAGGAAAAGTAAAGAGGGGGTAGAACAAGGCAAGGCAGAGCAAGGATGGTCCCAGTGCCGCTTCTCCTCACCGAGTGCGACTGTGCCTTCGTTTATTGCGGGGGGCTTCTCCTCGCCGCCGCCTATATCCGCTCTAGAGAGCTTGCGTGGAATGCAACTTGCGGTTCGCACCGGTCGCGAAACGAAACCGCGCCCTCTGGCTGATGAAACGAAAGGGTCCTCTCCGATATCGGAGACAGAGCTTGCCACGTCAGCGCGTGAGCCAAGCCGGATGCGATAGGGATCACATCCCTTGATCGCGACTCTATCCCACGCGTACGCCGTGTACACGGGGTACTGTACAACAGCTGCTGGGGGCGTTACAGCGAGCGGTCGCTGCCCGAGACCCGCCTTCTCTCCGCCTCTTCTCCGCCTCTACCCGCGCGCTGGACGCGGGCTTCCAGTCGCGCGCCGCGTCGTACTCGCGTCAAGTCGCCGCCGTGCGCCACGAGCGCGACCGCTGGGCCGCGCTGGAAACCCCGCCGCCGGTCCCCCCCCTCACCCTTTCTCTTCGTCTCCGCCTTCGCCCTTGTCCTCCCACTCGCAAACCTCTTCCTCGCCAGCGGCCTCGCCGCCAGACGCCTCGCTAGGGGCGTCGTCTCGTGGCTATTGCCGTTGTCGCCGCCGTTTTGAGTACGAGCAGACATCCCCCCTGGCTCGACAACACTCCGGATCCGCAACTCTCGCGCACGGACTCACCCGTGCCCTGGACAAAGGAGATTGTGGAACCCGCTCTCGCTGCTGACGCCCAAACGCGGAGAGTTGTATCCATTCGTGCATCATTATCGTGTATTTCTACCTCTCCGACCGCCACTTGCGTCGCCGCGCGAAGGCTCTTGAGCCACCACTGCGATTCAATTCTGACTTTCTTACTCATCTGACAGACTTCATCTTGTCGCTCTTGCTCTACTGACTTCCGCCCTTCGCTCGTGCCCGGGTTTGGCACCCTGCCGAGTGCTGACAACTTACTATTCTATGTTCGTGCTTCGACAAGACTGACATCTCCGCCGGTAACCACAAATTTGAAGTGCAAATCTCTACCTCCATCCGAGATGCCTCTTCGCTCTTTATGTTATCCAGTAAAGCAAAACTCACCTTACCCCACAATTATGCTCTCGGTTCTACCCTGTACAATAAACTACTGCCCCTCCGTGCCTCGCTAGCATGTGTCCAATTTTCCTTTGCTTACAAATCGACCAGCGCCATCCGAGTCGGCTCGTCGATCTCACATGGCCGTCTCGCAAGCTCTTTAGTCGCAGATGCCGCACTCCCCGGTCTTCCACGTCCCACCCCACTCCCTTTCCCCTGCATTTCAGCCCCCCTTCTGCCGCCATATCCCCCCGTACTGCTCGCATCCCCTACCGCGTCAGCACCCAGCATCCTCGCCTTCTCCTCGGCCGCCCGGGCCCGCAAGCATGCCTGCCTCCGTTTCAACGCCTGCTCTCACTATGCCGCAAACTGCTGCCCGCCCTCATTCGCAGCCACCACCTGCGCCCCGTCAGCACTACGACCCCCCGCCTCGCTTCACTCTCTGCATGCCCCATAACCTTCCACATCGTCCCCGGCGTCGTCGGCGACGACCCGTCCTTCTTCTGTCCGCCCGGCCAGATGGTGCAGATGATGGGAGAGATGATGGGAGAGATGAAGACGAACTGACTGAATAATTGCTAACAAGAATTGCAGTCACGGTTTCCCTACACTGTAACGGCTCTTGTTTACAGTTGTCACACGTATTGCAGAATTCTGCAAATATAATTGCAAATATAATTGCAGAATTGTTTAGACGTAAAGTGTCTCGCGCCAGCAGTCTGCCCGCCACACGTTGCCACGCATGCCACGGTGCAGTCTGCCTGCCACACGTTGCCACGCATGCCACGGTGCAGAGCTGCACCCGTGTCCGCCTGCGCCCCCAAAAAACATACTGTACTGTAGTAAAAACATAAGCCACGCATGCCGCCCCCCTTGATTCTAGTGAAAAATAAAGAGAAGCCACGCACGCGCTTGCCGCGTCCGCCGCGCCACGCTTCCCGGCAGCGCCTTCAGCAGACGAGACGCTGTGGCGCGCACCTCGAAACGTGTCGCTCCGCCTCGACACGCCCCGGTCGTCGCCTTCGAGCTGCTGGTGCCAGCGCTGCCAGCAGCTGATGGCACCATCACCTCCTCTTTCATTTACACATTGCAGCGCCCATACGAAGCTGGGATATCACTCCTACACACGTCCCCGACTACTCCGTCGCGGGCCTGGTACAGCCTTCGCCCTAGACGCTCGAGATGCTCGCGCCGATATCCCCCGTCTTCGAAGGAGATGCGCCCTGGGGGTCGAGGATCATCACCAGAAAGACCACGAAACACGCCCCGAATGCAACCATGAAGAACAGGGACAGTTGCTTCAAATTCAGGCTCGCCGGCCCGCCCTCCGCGCACTTGGCCTTCATAAATTGTTCAGCACCGGGGATCGAGCTCGCCATTGACATCCTCAGCGTCGCTCGCGCCATGGGCTCGGTCAAGTTGGACCCACGCGGTAGTAGGAAAGACGCCCCCGTCCGTATACAGATCTCGCCCGTCATCGCCATCACCCCGCAGTACTGCGCCTGCGACCGCCCCGTGCCCGATGTTGCCGTCGTCATCAGAAACTTGCACGTCTTCTCGCTCAGCTTTTTCGCCCCCTCTTCGTACGAGTCTACGAAAATCGCCCCGTCTTTGTAATCCTTGTGGCATGCGCTGTGCTTTCTTTGGTTAGTCTCAATGCGCCTTGTCGCGTAAACGCGTAGTCAGGATAGTGAAAAAAATGCAAAAAACCTACCGTGACGCAACCACTGTGTCCCAAAACGTCTGCATCGCACCTCCTCTCGGCACGCACACAGAGCGCGGATCTACGTGACAGTTTTGAAGATCTTCCAGCGTTCGGTACTTGGATTCGATTTTGCCCTGAACAAGGGTAGCCCTGTTTTGCACCACAAACGTCGCCATCTTCGCATTACGTTAGTTCTTAGCTTTCCAATATCAACCGTATTTGTGTACCTTCTGGCTTACTGTTTTCGTGCTGCCGTTTGCTGCAAAACAACTTACGTCATCGATGATTCATAAGCCAAAATTATGAAAAGGCTGCAACAAGCTATGACCAAATTCAAAACCCATTGCCGAGACGATTCCTTGTCCGTAACAGGGTCTGAATTCGAAAACCCAACCATTCGACTGACTGTTATTACCAACGATTATTACGCTCACGTACAAAATTGTAGCAGTATGTTAGTGCAAGAACAAGCAAAACCTTTCTACAGTACATCACTTGTAATACGTACGAGTACTCTGAAGTGCTTTTCTCAAGCGGTAAGGAATACGACTTTTGAGAAGATAGTGTCTAATCCTTCGAAGCCGAGGTTCGGAAGCCGGGAGCGGCGTGTATGAATCGTCGGGAGGAACAAACCGTCTGTCCAGCATTTTGAGAAATGTAAACACCACGGAGAGCATCACCACAAGTCCCCACACTGCCAATGAGAAAGCTGTTAGAAAGAAAGCACCCGCAGACGCCACTGAAGTCTCGTCTACGTGCGTCGCGATTCCTATTCCATCAATAAGGAATGGGGGAAGAAAGTCAACCTTGCCGAGGCGAGTATCACTTTCCATCCAGCCACCAACGGCCATGTCGCAATTGCAATCTGGATCTTCTCGCATCGTTCCCTCCTCAGTTACACATCGGTCCATTTTTTCCACGATGGAATTGAACGGCACACCTTCATCACCGCCGTCATCTATATCAAGGGAAATACATCGAAACCCAAGGACTTCTTGCAGGTTGAGAAGATACTCCATAGCAATCCCGCCAAATTTGTACGGCTGCTCATTGCTCAAATTATTGTTAGCTCTTCGTGGAATAAGCAAGCACAGCCCTTGAATCGACGTGCAAGCTCCAAAAACTTCATCAACTTACCTCTTTGCTTTCATCCCGGTATAATGTCGGGTATGATACAGCCGCGCAGCAGCGCAACGGCACATTCTCGAGTTGTCGAGAAAAGGACCTTGCCTCACACAGACAGAAAAGACACAGAAAAACTGTCCACTTTGCAAGCACGATCCTTGCTTTGTGTTTGCGGGGCATCAGACCCTGAGTGGGAGTTGTTCCTTTTCGAGATAACATATCGAATAATCTCTGTACAGCTTGCAAGACTTGTCTCTTTTCTTTGAGTAGCGACATTTTGCAGAATCACCAGGTGTAGCATGCTTGACTACCTAATGGATTGCCGGAAAACCAGCGAATTCCTACATCTATGACAATAGCGTGCGAGTTTTGCATACCAGAGTCGTCATTCGAAAGAGTTGATTTCGTCAAAGATATTCAATCTTGTTCCCTTCGATTGGCAAAAGCCTTGCTGTGACAAAATCAAGCAGGACAGAGAAAGTCCTCTCTCCATCGAGGGAAAACTAGTAGGTTGTGTTGGTAGTCCTCTAGCACGGAAATCGTCATATGATTAAAGCATTGGGCATACACCAGAGTTAGTTACAATTGTTGAACCAGCAACCAGACTGGACGTAAATCAAGGCTTCTGGAAGCTACTGTTAGCCAAAAAAATCATGTCTACAAAACTCCCCCGGCTTTGGCGGTTTATACGCAATGTTTAGACCACGCAAAGACGAAAAACTGCGTCATCAACAATGAGAGGGCCACACATATCCCCGTCTCGAGATGCGATGGAGTGGCCTCAGAACGCATGAATCTACCTTTTTCTGTGTGGAAACTCAGAGCAGCAAGGAAGCAACAAGATCGTGCAACACATGTACGCTAGAACGTATTCGGTCATTATGATCGGGCACAGGCTCAGAGATCTGATCCTACAGTACTTTAGTGTACGCGTGCTGAGTACAGAGCTCCCGAAAGCAAAGCCTTGCGGAACGTGACGCCAAGAACACCGATGGCCCCCATCCCGGAGTCTTCGGGAGGCCGACGGTGACTTTATATTGTGAGTCTCGTGCCCTATTGGGCGCCTCCTGAAACTATTTTTGCGCAGTACAGTGGCCCCAGCGCAGTAGTGCCGCCCCGTGCGAAACCCCAAAATGTGCACTATAGGGGGGGTCGCGCATTAGTGCAACTTGGAATAGTGCCTCCCACGCATTAGTGCTATGCAAAACGCCATGGCACGATTATCATACTTCCTACACGTGTTCATACACGTGTGGCTTCAGTAGTAGCAGAACTGCAGGGTCGAAGGTGCGACGGCAGCAAGCGGAATGACGAAACATTTTACCATGATCAAAACCTCATCCTTTTTGTATAAGCGGGCCCCGAATCATAGCTTGCAGAGGGCCACATTGCAAACAACTTCTCAACCATAATGGTACCTCCCACTCAAGAACCACCCTCTCGTCTCAATCCCTCCCCACCTCCTCGCACGTCGCTCACCCTTAATGAAAAAATTGAGGCAGGGCGCCTGCTCAATATCGAGAACACACGACTCATACTCTGCTATCAATATGACTTATTGATTGGTGATTCCTGCTGCATCCTTCTGAGTCAAGCTCCGTCGACTTTAGTCTTTGTCAACCTTAGCCCGTATTAGTTCCTGTTATTCTTTACATGTCCCGATTTACCTACCGCCCTACATCCCCTATAAGTAATGCCACACTTCATTGCTAGTAAGAAAAAAGACAGAGCACTTCCACCTCTCAACATTTCAACTTACGAGCTGACCACAGTGATCACTACGATTGCTTGTAATTTTCAACATGGCGGGGAACTCAAACTCCAGCCAGGCCCAGCTACAGGGTCAACATCTATTTACGCCCATTGCTCATCCGGAACTACGTCGGCTTGGACAGAAGAGCATCCATGCTTTTTTGCGTGAGCGTGAGCGATATTTGCTACGCATCAATGATGCCCAAGCTACTGGTAGCAGCATTTCAGCAATTTATCTCAAGTCTTCGCTGGATCCAGACCTTCTCCTATCGCTTGTAGAATTCGACGAATTTGACGGGGTGACCTCCGTTGATGAACTCTCTGAAGAGGCGTTAAAAAATTGGCTGGACGAGAAGGAGACAGTGAACTTCGATACTTTGACAACTACCGAGCTGGATAATTCTATTCGGTCATCTGTTCGAATGAACATCAACGAAAAAAATCCTGAACTCCGCATCAAAGCGCTCTTCATGGACTACAAAACTTTCCTTCGTGTCCGACGGTGGGGAGACCTCATTCAGAAAAATCCCAAACAGGCCACCGCACACATTTGCACACTGCTGAAGCCTCCTGCACTCAAGGAAAAAATTGAAAACGACCTTTCCTTGAGTAGGCATGATTTAAAAAAGGATTGGATGCAGTTTTATCGCTACGTTGTTAATCAAGCCGTTCGATGCGACGAATTTGTATCCATTCGGCAGACTACGACAGATTCTGATTCCGTAACCACGAAGATTGGTGCTGAAAAGCAAGACAAGACAAGAGACGGTTCTGCGAAGTCAGGAAACGGAAATGGCAAATTGAAAAACGATACATATGGTTCCACGCGAAAATGGAACAGAGGCGGCCGAAGCTACCAAGGCACACGAGGAAACAGCAATAGAGGTTCAAACAACTCCACAGATTCACGCTCGAACGGCGCCGGATCTGAAAACACGGGAGGTGTCATTGAGTTACCTTTTTGTTTAAATGTTTCCAAATGTAAGAAACGACATTATGTGAAGGACTGCCCTCTTTCAACAGACGAGGAGAAATATTCTTTGTTAAAAGAATTCTACAAGACTCGATCGGAAAAGGGACGTTTAAGCGTTCTGTCGCAAACACAGGAAGCATGTCATGCGCTGCAAGGTTCAGGACGGTACTTCGCAAAATTGGCGGACAGTGTAAACGTAATCGTTAACGGCGATTACGGTGCGGACCATTCTGCCCTCAGCGAGCAACACGTCAAACAGTGCGCTGATGATGGTGTATATGTTAACACTCTAACCCTTCGCGAACCAATCAGAATGAGTCTAGCTATAGGAGCAAATGCGGAAGAAGATTCGCAAGTTTATTGCACCCACACAAAGGTCCGTGTTTCTGTTACTCTCAATACTCCAGAAGGACCACTCCGTCTCCGCAACTTGGAATTCCTTGTTTTCAAGGAGTACATGCCCGAAATTCTTATCGCTCGCCCAGTTCTTCAGGCGATAGGATTTAATTTGGACGAGCATCTGAAGCGTGTGCGAAATCAATTCCACGACGCAGACTTTTCGAACATTGGGTTTTCTTCAGCACTTTCCACCAAAGAGGATACTCCCCCAAAAACTCCTGGACGTCTGTCACGTATACTACTTCGCGGTTACACGTCTAACGCCCATACCCAGAACTCCACTGATTCAGAGGAGGTAAATTCAGGGTTCTCTTCGGATGACGGTACCTCTTACAGCGACTCGGAAAACGGTTCACCTGATGAGTCTCCAATTCTTTATGGGGACACTCCAGATGATGGCCCCGTCTCCAAAGATTCTAACATTTCATTTGGAATCGATCAAGAGTCAGACACAGATTCACAATTGAAAGAACGAATTCAGGAAGCCATTCAGGGCGGCCTACCAGAAGAGTATCACGAAGAATTACAGGACTTAGTCTATGGCTACAGGGATATTTTCAGAACAAAGCTGGGGGCTGATCCGCCTGCCAGTGTGCAGCCAGTGTGCATTCGCCTCAGGCCAGATGCCATTCCTATTCGTGTTAAAGTCCGCCGATACTCGCCACCGCAAGCCAAATTTCTTCGTAAGAAAGTAGACGAATTACTGTCTCTCGGGCTTGTGCGACGAAACAATTCAAGTGAATGGGCATGCGCACCGCTAATTGTACCAAAGGACGGACCGGAGAAATTCAGATTCACGGTTGACCTGCGACCAGTGAACAGTCAAACAATTCCGCACACCTGGCCGATGCCTGATCTCGAGTCAATAACCTCCGAATTGGCAGGAGATTGCTGCTTTTCCATCATCGATTTATGTCATGGCTACTGGCAGATGCCGCTGGACTCAGAATCGCAAGAATGCCAAAGTTTTATAACGCCCGACGGCGTCTTCACACCCACGCGAGTAATGCATGGGCAGACGAATGCGACTTCCTACTTTCAGAGTACAGTAGGAAACCTATGTCTATCGTTACGGGATAACATTCTCCAATGGCTGGACGACCT